AAACCCCCTCCCCCGCCATCCGCAGGCGGCTGAAGCAGACGGGCCGCAGAAGAGGCGCGCAGGATGGGGACGGCTGCCGGGCCGGAGGGGGCCCCGAGGGGCCGCATCGCCCCGCCAGCCAGGGCAGAGCCTCGCCGGCGCTGAATGCTGATTTTTTCAAGCAGCTGCTGGCACTTCGCAAGCTCTTCTTCCCAAAGCTGGCGAGCGCCGAGCTGGGCTGGCTCTGCCTCCACTCCGTTGCTCTCATCTCCAGGACCTTCCTCTCCATCTATGTGGCTGCGCTCGATGGGAAGATCGTGAAGACCATCGTGGAGAAAAAGCCCAGGAGCTTCGTCCTCAAATTAATCAAGTGGCTCATGATTGCCATCCCGGCCACCTTCGTCAACAGCGCCATACGGTACCTGGAGGGCAAGTTGGCCCTCGCCTTCCGCACACGCCTCGTGGATCACGCCTATGAAACCTATTTTGCCAACCAGACTTACTATAGGGTGATCAACATGGACGGGCGGCTGGCCAACCCCGACCAGTCCCTCACTGAGGACATCATGATGTTTTCGCAGTCCGTGGCGCACCTCTACTCCAACCTCACCAAGCCCATCCTGGACGTTGTGCTCACCTCCTACACCCTCATCCGCACGGCGCGGTCCCGGGGCGCCAGCCCCATCGGGCCCACCGTCCTGGCCGGCCTCGTCGTCTACGCCACGGCCTGCGTGCTCAAAGCCTGCTCGCCCAAGTTTGGCAAGCTGGTGGCTGAGGAGGCGCACAAGAAGGGCTACTTGCGCTTCATGCACTCGCGGATCATTGCCAACGTGGAAGAGATCGCCTTCTACCGCGGGCACAAGGTAAGAGGAGTGAAGTGCGAGGGCGCTGGGGGCTGCGCCTGCAGCGCCGGAGGTGACCGCGCTTCCCGCGCTGACCTTCCAGAGCACTCTGAGTCCCTCTGACATTTAAACCTGTTTACAACTTGCACTTCCCGTTTCCTAGGAAAGTGCAGCCACACAGACTGTGTCTGGGGGGAGCAGAGCGCTGTTCTCTTCTGCTCTGACAGTGTTCCTGTTTCGCAGCAGTATCCTATGTTTTTCTAGAAAGCTAATCTTGATTGTTTTTCCCCACCAGTGCATTCCACTCACCTTCCCAGGCTTGCATTTTCGTCCTTGTTTATTAGCTGCCGCATTCAATGCTGCAGAAATCCTTCTTCTCTAAGGAAAAAAAAAAAATCCAGGAGCACCAGAAAGTCTAGGGGAAAACTTTGTGATAGCACAGAGAGCACTATAGCCTTTGACACTGTTTTGCATAGCTAAGCAAAGATGTAGTCATCGGAGTCTTAAAATAGAATAAGTACAGTCCTATAGTAGTCACAGTTACATAAACTAATAGACTATTTTAAAGCCACTTTACTATGGAACGCATCATACTTTCATTAGAAGTGAATTTTAACGAAAGCATTTTTCAAACGTGGTTTTGAAAAAAAGTTATTTCACGTAAGGTGAAAATGAAAATTGGAAAGCAGCCTGAAATATTATTAACTCTTTCAATCCAAACAGCAATTATGTAGAGTAAATGGTTTGATTTAGTAGAAGCAGTGGTTCCCAAAAGCTGCCTATAGTACTGTCTCAAGTGCGGCTAGATTAAACAGTTTCTTCTGTTCCCCCATACATTGGCTTGAACTGAATGCATTATGTCATACTGACTTGCAACTGTCTTTGACTTGTTGAACCGCTTGGGATAATTCTCTCTTCCTCTGGAGAGCTTGCAGAAACAAGCAGCATTGCATTTCAGGGATCAGCTCTGCAAGTTTAAGTCAGAGATAATTGGTCCCCAAATGCTATCCAGTTTGAGGAGTTTTGGTTGCTGTGAAATTCTGCAGCTGCATCGTCATTAAGAGGTTACAGAATCCATCTGACCTGGATTGTTAGGATCAGCTCTTGCAACTGCCTTGTATGTTGTTCCTGTGTCTATTTGAGGGCTTAAAAAACTGGAAACCTGCCAATGTGCTGGTAAGGGACAATGAGGTAAACAAGAACCAGCTCCACTGACTTTCATGAAGTTGTGCAGTTTTGCTGTGAGAATGCAGCACTGTGAAAATAGGTACCACACAGCAGGTGTGATTCAGAAGTCACAGCTCTGGATACCTGATTATTTCATGCACATATGTGAATACATTTTGTATGACCATGGGCATCTTTGTTGCATCATGTAAATATTTTATTTTTTAACTATAGGTAGAAATGAAACAGCTACAAAAAAGCTACAAGGCTTTGGCAGACCAAATGAATCTCATTTTGTCCAAACGTTTGTGGTACATCATGATAGAGCAGTTCCTGATGAAATATGTCTGGAGTTGCTGTGGTTTGATTATGGTCGCTGTGCCCATCATCACTGCAACGGGATTTGCAGATGGCGGTAATACCATTTCTATTAATTTCCAAATGCTTTTTTAAAATTGGGTCCTCAAAAGACTAGACTTCGCTTTAATGCCTGTCACATTTCTTTATTTTTTCACAGACTTCATTACTACATCTTTGTGGAGCGCATGTCATGTCTTTAACTTTCAAGCATAACTAGTCAGCTGAGGAAAGAGCAAAAGTTATAATTTTGAACATAAACCTGATAAACATCATGAATTCAGGACTCTGAGGATACTTGTCTCACATGAGATTACAGTGATCGTTGCAGTCCTTATTCCTTAGCTGGTGCTGGAATGGCATAATGACTCTTGCAGCTTCTTCTGCTATTTTACTAAATGATACGTATTACTAATTTTCCTGGAGTGCTCATCTCCTCATTCCATAAATGGTAGTGTAATTATAGTTAATTATTCTATTATATATTGACCTGTTGGAAACCAGCATTTTCACCTGACTCACTAGGAGAAGGACAGGTGAAGTGCACATTCAGATAGCATCATTTTTAACATCCTGTCGCAACTTTCCAGGAAGTGTAATGAGACTCAAGTAGTATTGCTATTGCATATGTAATAAACAGAAAAAAAGACCGCAGAAACACAGGTAGTTAAGGAGGGGTAATGAAAGACAGGCCAGGAAGTTTGCCTTAACGTGGTTCCTTATGCATGATTAGAACCACAGACTATATTACAAATGCGATAGGATTCCTTAAGCGTAGCTCCTACACTGTAAGCAGAAAGATCAGGTCTAAGTTTGGGACATTTTACCGAGAATGAGTGGATTGTTTTCAGCAAAGGACTCGGTAATTATATTCCAAATCAGGGCTGTCCAACTGGACAAGCTTGGTTCAACCTAGAGGATGACTTCATCCAGCCCCCATTATTTACCTTGCTTCCAATTTGGTCTGCACACGCCTGGGTGTTGAGCTATCTGAGCTAGTGCCCATCACATGGCTCAGGAGGGCCGTATAACAGGATCCTGGCTGGCATCCTGTTAACAGCTTCAAAAATATCAGACAGACCTATTCTGAACAGAAGAGTTTGTACAAAGCCATTTCACCTCGTGCAACTGGTGAAGGTTATCAGCACGACAGAAAAGTGATTAACCAGTTTAAGAGTCTTTTTCTAAGGTGGAAACGAGTACAGTCAAGAAAAAGAGTATTTGACTACACATTGAAAAATGTCTGCCTGCCCTTGCAGCATGAAAAAAAAATTAAAAAGAATGTCCTTTACAGGGGTCAAGCCACAGTGAAAGTATATGGAACAAATGAGTGATAATTCACTCGTATTCATGCTAAGCCAAGTAACATTGTGATACCCAGGCACAGTGTTTTGATAAATACTTTTCAAACATGTGAGAAAAGACATAGTGATAGCTCAAGTTGTAAAGCTGAGGAATATTTGCCACCAGCAACATAAAACGTTCATGCATGGGGCTTATTATAGAGCCCTGAGGCACGTCGTAGTGGTGGATTACAAACATATTATTAATGATGACAAATCAGCCCTGTCAAGACCCGTAGAAATACAACAGGTATTCAAAGAATCCAGCAGGCTTGAACTTACCACTGATCTGGCTGGCAAAGCAGCGCTGTATGTCTGAGCAGGTCAGATGCAGGTTAGTTCAAACCTGAAGGAACAGAAACTGGATTCATTACTTTCGGATAAATCATCAGTATCAAAGAACTGCATAAAAGTGGTGTTATGACCAGGCCTGAGACCTCAGCTGTAAAGCGATAGATTTTGTACATCTCTTCAGATAAAAGCAATTCTATAAAAAAAAAAATTACAATAAAAAATATTATTGGAGACAATACATCTATAATGCTGACATTTCTGACTCAAATTTGCTAGTTCTGCAGCACGTTTCAGGAAGAAATTAACTGGCAAAGCTGGATTCCTGTTTGAAGACATTGGTGTTGCAGATCTGTTGTCTCTGGTGGGTTTCTGGAAAGTAACTATTTTTGGAAACAAGACTTTAATTTCTCTAAGCACAGTGGACATGTATCTTTGTTCATAACACAAGCATAGTTATCAGTTACATAAATGAAAAGAAAAGAGAAATAGTAGATACTGTTTCCAGTTGGGCCAATCTGTCTGCCTTGTTACAATACAGCACTTCTTCAAACACAGCAGGAAGAGCTTATGAAAAAATGTTTGAGACTGAAGGTTCATGAAAAGCAATTTTAGTGGATTAGGTGCATAATGTAAGGAAATTGTGTTTTGAAATGGTGAAATGCTCATAAACTCCATGTAATACTGATTTTCAAATACTTCTAGAAGCATACTTAAAAGGAGCGACGCAGCTGTTTGTAGAGAGACCCACGCGACGGCTCAATGAGCTAGCCTGGGTGCTGGAAGCAGCGTTAGGTAAATTCATCCAGGAGGAATGCAACATTCCTGTAGCTAAACTGTGGCCAGTTCCTAAGTGATCTAGTTTTGGTAGTTCTACAAAGCGCTGCATGGGCTGTAATTGCAACCAGATCGGTAACATTTGGTTCTCTGAGAAGTGTCAAAACATTTCTGTTTAGCTTGCACTAATGAGTTAACAGGATTCCCTTTATCACCTGAGTTTACTTTTCTTGGTGCGGAAATGACTTTCCGAGTAAGTGAGGACTGCATAAGAAAGCATTTTGTAATCTCGCCCTTCTGTGCAGGAGGTTTCCTGTCTTTTTTAAAAAGTGTGTGCCTCTCAGTGCGTCCCAGGTAGCTAGCTTGCAGCTTGCACCAGTTAGTTGGCAGCGTACTGATGCTGTATAATTTAATCAGGAAAATGTGAATGTTTCCCAACCAGTTAAAACAAAGTTTTAAAAAACATTTGAAACCAGAAAGATATATATATGAGGCCAGAAAGATATATAGATATATCTATATATCTCTCTATATCTGTTTATCTATCTGTGTGGTATGGATGAGCAAATTTACTGTATGAGGAGTTTAGGAAGGTTTTTTTTTTTTTTTTCCCCAGAAGCTCCATAGTGTATTTCAGTGATTTAGATGTTATTATGTAAGGACACCTTTTTGGAGAAGTGAATGAAAACAAAGTAGCAGTTAGATTTAAGTATCTAAAAAAGAAAATAAAGACAGAAAGATAAATCTGGCTTTGGTACTGCGTGTAGGTTGCTAGACGCTGCGGACCCTGGCCCTGTCCTGGAGGTGAGACAGCTACCTACCAAGTACCAAAACACTGTTTGCTTGGCTCTTGCGTTGCCTGACTTAGCCCATAAAATTACGGTCGCATTACTCCTGCAGGTAACTCCTCACAGATTTTCTTGACCGTAACCACTGTGCAAGCATCATAGAGAATAGTTGGCGATACAGGAGTTGCCGCACTGGATCCACCTATTAGTCCCTCCAGCCTGATACCTAGCAGCAGGCAAACTTTAAAAAAAAAAAAAAAAGAGAGAGAAAAAAGAGAGAGAGAGAGAAGAAAAGAAATCCAGAGCCCCACTCTGCAGCATACTTAAGCAAAATACATGTATAAAATTATGTGAGGCAGAAAACTCCTCAGACCTTTTCTTCTAAACCTTACACATTGAAACTTCTTCAAGCGTGGTTTATCACACACTATTTTCTTAGTTTGTGTGGATGCAAACGTTAGCAGTAAAACAATATGTAGTCTTCAAATATTCAGCCACTTTTTAAATCTTGGTTCCTTCAGAAAGCAAACTTTGCAGATTGACTGTATGCTGCATAAAAGTTTTTGTAGGTCAGATGGTGGCAAGAGTGTATGTGGATATGTTAAATGTAAGCCAATTTATTCTCGCATATCTTCTACAATTTATGCTGCTGATTTCTCTTTGCCAGTTGCTGCTGATATGGTCTTATGGTACAACTCTTTCTTTTGGAGGAAGAATTTTGCTGACAGGATGCAGTGTCATAAACAAAGGATTATGACTTTGTTCTTGGGTCAGATCAACCGAGAAGCTTGTGAGAAAGAAGAATCCTATTTAAAAACACCTGTGATGCTGAAAGAACTTATTGCTGTCTTAAAGAAGTATTATTCTGTTGGCAAATGTGCATCAATATGAGTATTTCCTTTCACATAAAATGAGTAATAATGTAAGGCTAAAAATAATAACAAATATAGTAAAAATGCTATTAAAAATCTTTTTCAGATCATTGTTTAGGTTTCACTTTGCACTGGTAAAATTTACGTTGAAATAATAGTAAATTAGAAGGAAATTATCTAGGTAGACAAGTAGTACGAAAGAACAGGATATTTTGCATAATAAAATTAATTCCATATGCTCTCACTTGGTCTTTGTTACCAACGTATGTATGCTAATTGCATTCACCAATTCTTTTTGGAAGGTTATCTTCCCACAACTTTTCTTGATTTAAAAACTCTTCTATAATGACTCTCATTTTAGCTATGGTTTAAATTGTAGAGGTAATTTTCAGAAGAATATTTTAACAAAAAACAATTTTTACTTTTAGAGTTAGAAGACGGCCAGAAGCAGGCAATGGTTAGTGAACGAACAGAAGCTTTTACTACATCACGAAACCTGCTGATTTCTGGAGCAGATGCTATTGAAAGAATTATGTCTTCGTACAAAGAGGTATTGTACATTAGTCACAGGCACAACAGCAGAGGGAGAAATGAAAGCAAAGTGGAATTAACATTTAACGTAAAGTGTTAAAAATAGAGCCTTTTTAAAAGTCAAATTCTATTGCACTTAAATACACGGAGATCTTTTGAGCTGATTGTCTGGTCTTTAGAGTTAAGTCCGCAAAGAGCCTAAAGTGCACAGCTGGCAGTATGGTCCAACATATAGGTGTCATCTTAATATCTGTGCTCAAGTGCCACCAGAGAGCACTAGAATTTCCTGGAATATGAGTGCTAAAAGTTCAAATTCCTCCTCTGTGTGCAACAAGGACCTCAATTCAGGTCGACTTGAATGCTTATTTTCTGGCCATCTAAACCGTGCAGCCATTCTCAGTACCTTCTGATTCTGTTAAATTGGAAGTAATTTTACCAAGTAGAAAACTTTAACAGGAAAAATCCACCGCGGAACAACAGATAGCCTAGAGGTACAGGATGTTCATCTGCAAGGTCAAGGATGTTGTTTCAGGTCATCATCTGAGTTCAGGTGAAGTTGGGCTTTTAGCCATGGTCTGTCCTGGGTGATTCTCTAAATGTCCACTATTTGGCCAAAAAAAAAAAAAAAAGAGAGAGAGAGAGAGCACCATTAGTCTCTGTTATTCTCCTCAACATTTCCTGCCTAATGTGGTTCTGCATTTGTTTGATTGCATTTTGCTAATCCCTTTCCCAGTGCAGTGTGAGGGGGGCCTAGGCAGCTAATTGAAGACTATGGAACCCATTACTTGGAATCCAGCCGTACTAGCTACAGCTTTTTAAATTGGGGGAGGAGAGGTAGTTTGGAGCCTTCGAATGTAGACTCTGTATTTTCTCCGCAAGGAATACTTCTTATTGACAGTAATTTTGACCTATGCTCCTTTAGCTACTTCACTGCCTGGATTCTGCTCTAAAGAGACTGCCAGATAATCTCTTGTACACTGATTTTACTTCTGTTTTATTTTACATATTTAAGTCATTTATATAATGTGCATGGAGACTTACAAACATGGCAGTTTTATTGTTTGGAAACAAAAACATCCAATCAGTAGTAGCAACAAATGAACAAACTCACTTAATTTATAATATAGTAAGATTTTAATCCCAGATAGCATGAGGTCAAAGACCAGTTCTTTGAATTTCTATCTTAATTTTACATTTATACTTCTGCTGAAGAAATGCTGAGATACTTTAACCAGATGTTCATTCCGGTTTCTTGATTCAGTTTCCAAAGAAGAACAGTATACTTCAGTTCCCTTCACCAAGTAGTAGTGATGTATCGGTTCTTAGCCATTCGATCTGCAAAACCAGCATTGCTCCAGTAAATGTAACCTGTCTTGCAAATGAAGTGGGCCCAGCTTTTATTTGCAGGTCAACAGTTTAAATGCTTTTATTTAATGTTCTGACAAAATGAATTTGTAGGGTTGTGGTCTGGAAACTCACCTCAAGTTATGTTTTGTGCGGGGTGCAGTTGGTACAAGCTCATCTCCCACGGATGCCCCTGCGGGCGCTGTATGAACTGCTGAGTCCCGGCCCAAGCTCCTGCCGAGTTCGCTAGAAAGACTCCAGTGTGGAGCATGATGTCACAGCTCCTGTGTGCTACCTACTGCTTCAAGTGCTGTTAACCCAATACTTTTCACAGATGTTAATGCAATTACTGATAATGCAAGACCTTACAGAGCTGCAACATTTGTTGATTATACTTTTTAAACTGAATTATCCTAGACATTGTTTACTTACAAACCTCCAGTGGGGTGATGACCCTGTGACTGTGACCAGTACTCCCTACTTAATCTTGCACAAATAATGACATTTACGTAGAATTGGATCTCTTTATGTTGGAGTTATGTATGCCCGTTACAGGTGAACTGTATCATGGGGTATACACTATTTAACTACATCAAGCTAGTTATTTTATACTCCTACACTCGTTTTCTTGCTGTTCTTGTCTTGCTCTCCGCATTTAGTATAAAAATTCATCCTTTCAAACCATCTGATAATATGTTTATAAGATGCCTGGGTTTAACTCCTTGCTGCCAGCGAATGCAGGCAGTTCTTTGAGAGTTTTTGTTGATGTCACTGTCTACAGATAAGAATTTCCCAGAGATCTGGAATTCTATGTTCACCAGGTGGCAACTATTCTAAAAGGCTGAGAAAAGGAGAAAGCCTTTTAGGAGACCTCAGCAGCTTAAAAATTACCGGTTCTAGTCTGAGGTCTCAGATTTAGCTCTAGTAATCTGGCATGCAGTTGACATACTCGGAAGATCCAATTAATTTTTGTACCATGTTGATGAGGATATGCCCTCATGCTACCTGTTTTATGCATAAAAAGCACACCTTTCCCACTGAAGGTTTAGGTGGTACAGGGAAATAAAAATAAATAATTATAAGCATCAGCTTTTCTCTCTTTTATTAACCTTTATTTTGCTGGAGAATACAGAGATTTTGTTTTTCTCTTGTATGATACGCCCTCTGTTTTAGGATATTCTGATAGCCACTCTCTGCAGGTTGAAGATTCAACAGCTGCGTGGAAATCAGCAGTGCCTGCAACCTCCTTATTTACTGGAGCTACAGTAATTTACCTTGTCTGAAATCTGTGCCCTCAAACTGTTAGTAGGAGATAGTAGGGGATAGCACAGAATCTCAAAGAATGAAAGATGCATCCTTGATTCTTCCAGAATAACATTTGAGAAGCATTGGCTCAAAATAGCTGGGAATGTTTTTCACGAATTTTTGGCCAAATATTTCATTTAGAGATTTATAAAGTATGACTGAAATGGGGCGTTTGTTATTTCATAGGTTACTGAGCTAGCAGGCTACACAGCCCGTGTCTACAACATGTTTTCAGTCTTCGATGAAGTAAAAAGAGGCATTTACAAAAGAGCTGCTGTTATTCAAGAGTCCAAAAGCAACAGCAAGAATGAAGATAAAGCAGAATTACACATGGATGGGCCCTTAGAAATCAAGGGTAATTATTTCTCATTTTTATATATTTCTCTGTTTGAGGGCCTCAGTGGTGCAGTGGGACAGAGACAAAAGCTTTTGTTTCTACAAGAAATCCAGCCTCTCACTGAATGCCCCAGAGACCGTATTGCCTCCCATTTTATGTTCCTTACATGCTGTTTTGTAACTACGGGCTTTTGCAATGCACTTCTAATGTATTGTCACTAGGATTGCTTGAATGTTTTCTGTGAAAACTTTTAATGAAAAAGGCATTTCAACTATACTATTATTGTTGTTAGTGATATTATTGTTATTATTATAGGGACAGTGCCAGCTTTCTCCTGAGGCTTATATTTTTTCAGAAAACTGAGACAATAGTAGTTTGTTTTCAGCTGATAAAAGTCAGCCCGTCCCTCATTTTTTTTTCATCATTTAGTTGAAATTTTCAAGTGAAAATATGCTGACAACTCCACCCTTTCCCCCATCTTCCTGATGATCTGACCTGTGACCGTACAAACCGTGGGGTGGTTGGTTTCCTCCATCCCTCTCGTCCCCTCCGGGGCTATCCAATCAGTATACCGCTTATTCCTCCCCTCCCTATCCTGTACCCTTCTGGTGCCGGTATCGTTCTGTCTCCACCCTCCCCACAGCATTTCCTGAGCACATCTTTTTCTTATTGTGCTCTGCTCCGTTAACCATCTATCTCTGCCTCCTGCATCCAGCTTCTCTCTGAGCTACTTCATACAGCATTTGCAATGGGCTTTTCCCGGTTTTTCCGATAGACCCTCCTACTTCCTCTCTGTCTTTGTTGTTGACAAGCCTCATTCCCTCCCACTGGCCTCTGAAAACTTAGGTCTCGTTAGAAATGAACGCACCAAAGTGCCCTTTATGAAATAACTTCTTTCGACAAATTTCGACAGTGTTGCCCTTCAGCCCAGGCTTCTCAGAAGTTCTCTGGCAAGCTTCTGCATAGCAAACAGCCTGGTGCGGCGTAGTGGCTGTCTGTGGGAACAGCTGATTTCTTGATCTTGTAGATCCTGGTGATGTTTGGCTGCCATTAAAATAAATGATACTTTATAAGTGTTACATTTTGCGATGTCCCAGAGAAAAGATTTTGTAGTTCATAGAGCAATAAAATAAGGCTGGGGCCCTTTTTGCGTAACTATGTATTTTAAAAACAAATATAGTTGAGATATAAAAGAATGCTGTTTGTGTTCCCTTCTGGTCTAGTATACTAATACCCTGCTCCTTTCTCCTCTCCATCCTTTTCCCAAGATTTGATTCCACTACAGTTGCAAACTTCATCCTACCTAAATTCCTCCTAAGTCGCAGTGACTAGTGTTTCTTACTGACTGGTTATGGGCTTTCAGAGGCATCTACCAATAGGAAACAGTGTGCACGAGGACTTAAGGAGAATTTAGGCCAGATGAATCTAGGCCACAGGCTCCACTCTTGTTATGACAAGTTCCATTGTAATACTATTTTTCCACCTTTCTCTCACTCTTGATACTTCAGAAATCCCTGCAGAGTAGATTTACATGTGGATGGAAGTACACGTGCTTACATGCGTGTATGTGTCTCTATTGCTAAAAAAGAAAAATGTTGATATTTAGCTTCCCAAAAGGGGAACCACACAGTACTTATTTCCTTTTAAACCATCCTATATAAATCTGTGTCACTAAGGAATGCCTATGTTGTGCCCCGCGTTCACTGTTGTCTATACGTGTATTAAGAAAACATGAAAAGTTTTACAACATTTTAAACAGATCATAATTCTGCAATATATATTGAGTATCATATAATTCAGAATTTTAAAGTCGAAATATAATTTTATACATCTTGCAGAAATATTGTCAAACTGTGCTTTTGGTTATATTTAAAAATACTTTAGAAGCATGCTAAGATTGCAATCAAACACTCCCAAGTTAGGAAATGAGAATTAAGTTTACTTAATGCTTGCATAATTTACTACTTTTTGATCATAGATTTATTTTAGCTAGAACTTTCTCCATTGCATCTAAGTGCTTCAAAAACAAGAATGAGTCTGCTTGAGATAGTGGAGGATAATTTTCTGTAGAAGGGGAATGGAGACGACATCGGATGAAGGCCAAATCCGTCACGAGTATTCACTCATTTGGAGTGACTAGTATGCCCCTTTTTTGCAGAACTGTCTTGGCCAAATCTGTTTGAATTTTCCTAAAGCTGTCAAAAGACACATCGCTGATAATAGGTAGATCTGCTAGTCACATGTCAAGTCCTTGTGCAGGAGTGTGAAGGCAGTAGAGCTTGTCAGTGTTATGAGAAAACTGCATTAAAACATTTTAAATAGCAAAAATAAAGTTTATTTTTCTATAATCTCGTATTGGACATCTCAGGACTGTTTTAAATAAAACTCATTTTAGAGGAAATAAACAACTTGGGCTGATACATCATACAGAAATCTTTGCCCAGGTTGTTATAGCTGTGACAAAGCTGGAAGCAGTTGAACAAAGAGCCTCCGAGTGGAAAATGTAGGATTACAGCCTTAACTGAAGGAAATGCTCTCAGATCCCCTTATAATAAGTACAGTCTTTTTTAGTTCCATTTTTCTTTGTTCTGGTTAGTTTAAGTTTTAAAATATGCAGCCTTCTGTTACAAAGAGAAATCTCTTCTTTGTGTCTTGCCTGTAAAGACTATTTCTGATATTTGTCCGGGAACCCAGCTGACTGGGTCTGTAAGACAAGCCTGTTAACATGCAACTGAGAAGTTAGAACGGGTTTCATTTTTTTCATTATTCCCAGAGGAATTTATTTACTAGTGCTCATGAATTTGTTACAGAGTACCCAAATGTTTGATCAGTGTCTTGGTGTATTTAAACTTGCACAAAATCCAAATAATAAGTATAGATACCAGAGTGAAACATGTTATATATATGTTTTCACACATACTAGCAAAAGACCTCTGCAGTTTCTGTGGCTTCAGAAGGAAACGGAAGCCAGCCATTGGACATTTCCTCCTTTGGTCTCATTGCTGGAGAAGCCTGAACTGGGCGTATAGGGTCAGAGCTAGTAGTAAAAAGAGCTATCGTTTTCTATTGAAATCTTCAAGAGAAAGGGAAGTAGTTTACCTGTGTTTAAGGCTGTCCCTGAACATTTTTACTGATGGATATTGACCACTTATTTAAAGCAAAAGACAGTAAATAGATGTAGGATGTGAACAAACATGTATTTGTAGTGCTTTATATATTTTTAATGATGCATTGTATAGTGCATTGCATTTATGATGCTACGTAGTTTCTTTCTCACTGGTTAAGATACATCATTCAGATTTTCCACTAGGGGTACCTGGAGCACATAAGAGTTGTTCAAAACCCACCAATTTACACTTCTCAGCCATGCATCGGATATTATTGCTTAGTGGAAAGTTTCATTGACTTTAAATGTTTTTCTTTTATCTCTAGGAAAAGTTATTGATGTTGATCGTGGAATTGTTTGTGAAAATGTTCCTATTATTACTCCGAATGGCGATGTGGTGGTTTCCAGACTAAACTTCAAAGTAAGATGATATGCAAGAATCTTCTGATTGTTGCCATCACATTAACATAAACAGGACAGAATTCATGTACCTTATGTTAAGTACTTGGAGGAGCATATGGATAAAAGGGGAAGTCCAGAAAGGTAGGCATAGTAGCTCAATAGAGGCAGATATGTGTAGTTTATCCTGCTCAGAGAAAGAGAAGAGAGGATTTCTGGTGCTGTTGCCAGAGGAAAAACCACACCTGAGTTTTTTAAAGGTGTATATGGGAGTCTGCATCCATCTGTTTCAATTTCAGTGGAACTAGGATGCTTTATTCCCTAGGCTCCTTGAAATGTTGGAGTTCACAACAGTAGTGAAAAAATCGAGTCTGTAGTTTTACTTAATCACCACAAAGAGCAGTAGTAACTAATAGTTGACAGCATAGTTGACAAGCCCAGCTGTGGAGCCTTTACTCAGTAAAGGCTTGGATTGTTTTTAAAAAGCTCTTACAAATACCACTTGTTACCTGCTCACAAGTTTAATGAATGGCCTTTACTGAATTGCTCCCATATATGTCCTGATCTTGTGTTCCACTGTAGGCATTGTTATTTTTAGAAGTAGGTGAAACTATCAGAACACTAACATGAATAGATACAGCAGATCCTTTAATTCAGGTAAAACAGACTGTTCCTCATGTCACCTCTTTGTGTGCCTAAGAATTAGTAACCAGGAGGACAGGGTCCTTGCTGTGGCAAAACTTGCAATGGCTTCAGCGTAGGAATTCTGATTTGTAAAATTACAGCTTTACAGTCAGGCAGACAATGTGATTGTGATATTGTGGTTATGAATAAATACACACTCTTATATTTACACAGATTAATATTCAAATGAATAAAAAATCATCACACCCAAAATCACACTACTAATTAAACAGGAAAAGGCATCGTGAAGTACGTTTTTCAAACCGTTTGGTCTTGCTTGCATAGCTTGTATTAATCTTACTGATGGGTATGGCACTGCTCTGTACACTGTTACCCCCTTTGGGCATGATTCATGTTATAATAATTGATACTAACTATGGTATAGTGATATGATGATATAGTCAGTGTAGTTTATAGGTATATTCAGACATTATAAGAATTAATAACTGATTGCCCTTAAGATATTAAGATGCCCTCATATTGAAACAAGTGCAGGCAAGACTCTGAAGGAAATATCTATTAACACACCAAAAGGATTATTGGAAATCGTTGGAATTATTTTAGATTGTGACATGTGACCTATGGGTGTATCTCATCTCTCTGAAAGTAGGGCTCAATGTTTTTGCAACATGTTAGAAATAAACTATGCTCAGATTTTAATTCCAAGGCACAAAGCATCTAAATAATTTAAAAAAATTTCCAATCTAATGATGTATGTCCTTCCAGAAAATAGTAACGTCTCTCTGGAAATAGTGAACATAACTTTTTCTGGCTGAATTATTTTTATCATTTCAGCCTACATATTATATCTAAAACCACTGTTTCTAGAACAGCTGCTTAAAGGATGTGCAAGTTATTAATGGAATGGGTTGATAATTTGATGCATAACTCACTTTAGAGGTCTTAGACTGCCTTGTGTCATATGTACTGCATAGTAACATCTTTCATTCTAATGTTTTCATTATTGTAGGTCCAGGAGGGGATGCATCTTTTAATCACGGGGCCCAATGGCTGTGGAAAGAGTTCTCTTTTCAGAATTTTAAGTGGTCTGTGGCCTGTATATGAAGGAGTTCTCTACAAACCCCCTCCACAGCACATGTTTTATATACCGCAAAGGTATGTGTTTGCTGGAGTTGATACTTTTTTGCTGGTAACATGAATTTTGACCTAGCTTCTCTTATTTTTAAATCAACAGTATCTAGAGGCAACTTAGCAGATGGTAAGCACCACCTCCTGTGTGGAGCTTCCTTCTTTGGTAATGCAAATCTTCAGTCACTGAAAAGGGGGAGCTCACATACCCCTGTGAGCCTGCGCTCCCCTGATGGCTGCTGAGTGCTGGCTGAGTGTGATCATGGCAACAGTGGAAAATCTGGAACGAGTTGGAAATAGACCTAATAGATCTTTATTCTGATTTTGCTTTAAAACCAAAGATCAAGACAAATGAGAATGTATTGGTTCCCAAATTTTGAATTGTTTAAAATAATTTTAAAAACTTGAGCTTTTGCGGTAGGAAATCTCAGTCCAATCCATCATTAACTGTAAATTGCCCTTTTGTGTAATGTATACTCATTTCACTAAGGAAAACATTGCATTTTTTTATTCTTCCTTTGTATTCTGACTTGCTGTTGGACCTTAGAATGTGATTTAATGCAATCAATTCTAGGATATCTCCTTAGAGACATCTCAGACAGTTCTTGTGCAAAAGCAAAATCAAACACTGAGAATCTTTGATTACTTTCTGTAGTTCACTTCTTCCCATGGGCAAAGTTCCCATGGTACTGTTTGTAGTCTTGCTTTAAAAATGTGAGCTATAAAGCTGAATGGAAAATACTAACTGATAAAGAGATTGTTCTTGTTGTAGATGAAGGTAGCACAGAAAATGTATACATAATTTTTTCAGATTTATGTATAATTTATTGCTAGCCAATGTCATAGAAGTTCTGTACGGAGGAAATTTTGAAATTGGAATATATCAGTTAGAATGTGCTAGACTCTCCTGGAACACGTTACATTATTTGAATGCTACTATTTAGAAAACAAATTTGAGCTGTGAGTTAGGCAACAGAAGTAAATTACGTGTCTATATTTACCTACCTACACACAGTCTTCCTAAAGGAAGAACGAGATGCAGATGGTCATTGGCTCTGAAAGACAGAGCATTAAAACTGACAGAACGATACTTTCTGCAGTTAATCTTGGGGCTAATTGCTTTAAGTAACCATTGAGGTCTAATGATAATGAGGTTAGTGAGGTGCAGGTTACTTGGTATATAACTCAGCGTATAATTTGTATGTTGAACTGGTGAGGATAAACTCTCCTTATGGGCAGTAGAATTGTTCATTTTGGGATCATTTTAGAGTTTCTTATACCTTCTCTGTAGCGTGTAGAAACACAGTGTTGAACTACATGGCTCACTGGTTTGGAAAAGAATGCTTTTTTTTTTTACTGAATGTGAGGGTGCAAGAAGTTAATTCAAGAATCAGTGAGTTTATTACTAATAGCTAAGGGTGAACATCCTCCAATGTGAGGGAACAGGACAGAACAGCCAATACCCAAACAGAGTTTCTGTAAGAAAATAAATCATTTTGTTAAATGACAGCAACTTTCGTAACTGTGACCATGGTACCAGTTTCATAACAGGGATCCTTCCTGTCCAGCCTCCTCCTTACCTTGAGCACACTAGGAGCAATACAGAAAACAGCCTTAGAAACTGCAAGATGCTTTTAGGTACTCCAAAGAAAAGCAGCCCCTGGTGTTTTTCTCTGCACCTAAACTTAATTTAATGTGCCAGCAAAACTTATAACTTAAATTTCCCTGTGCTATAAAAAGCTAAAGAATGAGACAAGATAGCCCTTTGGGAGGAGTCGTTTCTTTCTGAAAAGTCTTTTTTTAGTCTATTTTAACTTTTTGCTCTCCATGCCATTCAGATTTTGCCTCTCCTGTCTGAAAAAGTAAAGGGATGTCCCAGCTGTAGGTATGGTTTTGTGATGTGCATAGAACTTCACCAGGAGGTAAATTGAGATCATCAGTGCATTTCGTCTAGGTCATCAAATAGATTGTATGAGTGTTCAGCTACCACTTGTGTAGCTTGGTTTTGAAATGGAGACATGGAGGTGAAAGCAAAATATGTATGTGAGGTTTCTACTTCAGTACCATCATTTCATGGCGTTAACTTTTAACATCTCTTGCTAATTTCAAACCCACAGATTTCTTTGCCAATGTCTTCGTGAAATACAAACACTTGCAAACACTTTTGCAAGAACCAGACTATTCTGGGCTTGTAAGAGGTTGTTATGTATTTTGCAATCGAATTCGTAGCTTTTCTCCCTTGTTTGTACCTGCACAAAAGTCTCTGCTTTGAGAAATACTGACATACTGTTAAATCCAAACAAGAAATAAAACATATGTAGAAAGGTAGTGTGACAGTTCTCATCATAGATGTTTGCCTTAGAAGGTTACCAGTGTGTTTTAAGTTGATAATTACTGGGTACCTGCCATTTTCAGTTTGTAGTCATAATGGAGATATATAAAAATAATATGGTATAAGAAAATCAAACATTTTAATTTAAGTAAGTACGGTAGTGTCTGCAAGGTAATTACAAAATATAACTGCTTCTTTTTATTCTCTTAAAGTAGTATTTGTAAGGCTATCAGATTCTGGGATATGATTTTTCTTCTGCTATATTCCAAATGGCTAGTGTGAGCCAGTCCCATGTAAGAATTAGCAATAATTGTAGGAGAACAGAGTGTTTGTGGAAAATAGTTTTCCTTACTATGAAATAGGTTCTTAAGACAAAAATATTAATAAATAAGCAAGTCAAGCTATAATTTTGGGGGCACTCCCCGCTTCATTCACTCAATGAGTTTTTATTCAGGTTTCTCTTTTGTCCTTCTATTTCAATTCATCAGATTATACACTTTATATAAAAAGGTTAATTTTCACATTGATTTTTCTATCCACAAATAGGAGAATCACAGAATGGTTGTGGTTGAAAGGGACCTCTAGAGGTCATCTAGTCCAAACGCCCTGCTCGAGCAGGGTCACATAGAGCATGTTACCCAGGAATGTGTCCAGACGGCTTTTGAATATCTCCAGGGAAGGAGACTCCACAACCTCTCTGGGCAGCCTGTGCCAGTGCTCTGTCACCCTCACAGGAAATAAGTTTTTCCTCAGGTTCAGATGGAACTTCCTGTGGTTCAGTTTCTGCCCATCGCCTCTTGTCCTGTCACTGGGCACCACGGAGAAGAGACTGGCCTCATCCTCTCGACATCCCCCCTCTTCAGATACTTGTACACATTGATGAGTCTTCACTTCTCCAGGCTAAACAGGCACAGCTCCCTCAGCCTTTCCTCATTTGAGAAGATGCTCCAGTCCCTTCATCATCTTCGTACTCCTTTGCTGGACTCTCTCCAGGAGCTCCGTGTCTCTCTTGTACTGGGGAGCCCAGCACTGGACACAGTACTCCAGGTGAGGCCTC